TATGTACATTATTTACATTATTCGGACTATTGTCCTCATCTTTGTCCGTCGCCATATTCATCACAACGTTTCGGCCGTTGTACGCTCCGGCCTTCTTCAGATGGTTGGAATGTCGAACTGAACCCTTTATTTCGCTCACTGGGGTAGACTGTTCTAGTGCCACGTGCCATGTTTTGATGGATGTCAGCTATCAGTTATCTCCTAGGCACATGGCACAGTAGATAAAGGCGTTGGTTAGATCCAGTGACAGGACCCAAATAGTGTGAGTTCAATACCCGGTTTAGGCAGTGGAGAACTTTCAGAGGGGAATTAACGAATTAATCTTCGCTCTGTTTAAACTTGTGGAGTAATAATCTTTGTCGTAACACAAAATTTTGCGCTGCGCATTAATCCACTAAGCTTACTAAATATCACTTTTGGAGTTTGGCGCACCACAATCTTCCTCATACCACTTAGTCTTGTACATTAATGGTGGGCTCTCCATTATGAGGGTGAAGCATATGTGTTCCTAGGGACCGACAGCCCGATACCTGTACATGTGATTTGTTTATAGTGGTGAAGGCTTTGTGCAGAATCAACCACATTTTGTGAAGGGCCGAATACAGAGACCTGGTGCACAATGTGCCACAAGGTCCCGAAACGACCCTTCGCAGGTTTTGAATTCAAAGTTGCTCTACTCCTAGACCAGTTACCATCCATGGCTATAGAACCCAGTCTGTCCTGCTATTTTACCCATAGCTGGATGGAGAAGAAGAGGATTCACACCTTTCTCATAAGTTAATGTAATTCGACTGGAATTTGAACTCGGCTCTCTGATTCCTCAATCCGAGACACTATCCACTACTTCACCTTGTGTACATTAATACACTATGCTTAATAAATATCCTATTTCGAAATTGGCGGAATACAGTCTTCCTCGCTCTATCTAGACTTCTGAATTAACAAACTAATCGTAATAAATAACACTTTTGTTGATTGGCGAAATAGAATCTTCCTCTCGCAAAAGCATTCATTAATAAAAAATATAAATAAAAATAGAAAGAAATTAAGAAAAATATATTATAATGTGAATTCATCCCCCAAAGCGACACCTATATGGGTCATGTATTTTTTTAATCCGTTCACCCATTTGCAAGGCGATTATTAAGACGCAAAGGGATTATGGGACGGAAAGAGAATGAGAGGGCTTTAGAAGCGACCGGAAACCCAATCCTAAAAAGCAAACAAGAGATAAACGTCTATTTTATAGCTTCGGTAGGCTTTCTGTTATAGCAAGATATATTAACGAGGTCTGGCATATTTTCTTTGGTGTAATAATTTTCAAGCTTGTCTCGCTAGAACAATTACGAATGAGTTTAAAGTTCGATACTAACTGGGTGCCTCTTACTTTTTCGGCCTTGTGCCACATCCAAAATTTAAAAACCTTTCATATATTAACGAGGTCAAAATCTAAAGCAAAAAGAAAAAATGTTACCCAACACCAATAAAAAAAAAGGATATTTCCTATTATACAATTTAATTAGCAGTTGTGGGATTATTTTTTTTTCATTTTCTTTAATTCGACTGTTCTTAGCGAAATAAAACGTAAGTTGCGTAAATCTTTTATATTTTTTTCTTAATTCAGAATGTATGAACTAGAAATCATTATTCGTAGATCTCTTGAAAAACATGATTGCATTTTTGGCCGGCAGCGAGTGCCAGGGAGAGGGAGAAGGGATAAGCAGAATGAAAGTGTAAAATAAAGAAAGGGAGAAAATATAGAGAAAGAAAGAGCGGGAAGGAAAACTTATCGAGGAGGAAACAAAAAAAAAAACGATTAGTCGAAAGAGAGAGACAAAAAGGAGAAAGTGAGGTAAAGAGAAAAGAAGCAATGGCGAAACAGAAAAAGAGAAGAGAAAATAAATCTATCATATCAGTCTGTTCATATCTATCTATCTATCTATCTATCTATCTATCTATCTATCTATCTATCTAAGTCTGTTCGAGGTAAAGAGAAAAGAAAAATAAGAAAAAAAAAAAAAAAAAAAAGAACAAAAAATAAATAAAATCAAATCAGTCTGAAAATATCTATCTATCTATCTATCTATCTATCTATCACAGTCTGTTCATATCTATCTATCTATTTATTTATCTATCACAGTCAGTTCATATGTATCTATTTCAGTCTGTTCATATCTATCTATCTATCTATCTATCTATCTATCTATCTATCTATCTATCTATCTATTTATTTATATGTATCTAAACAGTCTGTTCATATGTATCTTTTTCAGCCTATTCATATTCTATCTATCTATCTATCTATCTATCTATCTATCTATCCTTCCCAGTTTCTTAATATCTATGTATGTATCTATTTATTTATTTCAGACTGTTCATATCTATCTATCTATCTATCTATCTATCTATCTATCTATCTATCTATCTATCACAGTCTATTCCTATCTATGTATTTATTTATCTATCTACCGCAATATGCTAATATCTATCTATCTATCGATCGATCTATATATCTAAGTCTGTTCGAGGTAAAGAGAAAAGAAGCAATGGCGAAACAAAGAAAAAGAGAAGGGAAAATAAATCTATCTATCTATCTATCTATCTATCTATCTATCTATCTATCTATCTTCAAGAATACCCCAATATTTCTAATGGTCAGTTACATTAGTTAGAATATAACCTTTTAGTTGCATGGCAAAATGTTCGTTCAGTATTTGCCTTTACATTATTACACTTTTGATTTCTCATATATGCCCCCATAAACTAATTCTATTTCTATTGTCTAGGCGACACCTGTCACATCAGTGTACGCATCTTTTGTATTTTTTAATTTGTCAAAATGGCGAATTTAATTCACTGTCATATAAGCGGGTTTATATTATATTACTAGCAGCATGGCCCGGCGTTGCCCGTGCTCGATTCAAAAATCGTACGACTCATACAGCAATCGCCATCACTTGACTTAAAATATTTTTGCCCTTCCCTGCCTTTAAAGGAGTGCCCTTTGTCGTGCTGATGTTGCTATATGCCTTACTTCTTGCCTATCTCACACTGCGAATTTTTCTAAGCTCTATACTAAACATTAAATCTGTTACGAAAAAAGAACTAAACAAAATGAACACAAAACGATCAGCTTTAAAAAAGGACTCTTAACTGGAAAAACCGAATGAAAAAAAGAATGTTAACAACAAATACTTTTTCACACCCAACCCAGTTCTGCGGAATCAGAATCAACGTTGAGTTTAAGCAAGCGAATGAGCCAATTGGAGTAAAGTGCCATGCAGATTTAAATTTTTCCCACTTGTGACGAATGCAGCTATCGATTTTTTTGCATGCTAGCATGCTAATTAACATTCGTGTCAGTCAGCTGTTGGCTCTCACGCTGGCCAATAGAATCTTTCTGCCTATTCGTGTCAGCCAGCTATAGGCTCTCTCTCTGGCCAGTACAAAATGGCCGCAAACTACATGAAAACTGCCGTAGAAGCATGAAAAAATCGATTATTTCCACTATCGATGGAGTTGGGAAATGCAAGGTCGGTCTTGGGCGTCCCACTAACTTGGAGCATGTGCATGTAAATTTTGGTGCAAATCCGTCGAAACTTGCGGCTGTACATTCGTTACACACACACGCACACGCACGCACACGCACACGCACACACACACACACACACACACACACACACACACACACGCACACCCTGCCTTTTATAGATAGAGATATTATATTATATTATATACGCCTTCAGAAGTAGGTGTCACATTTCCTATTCTCTGTTAAAATATTTAAACTCCTGTACTTGTTTGATTTAAACATCTCCAATTCACAGATCGCCTTTTGATGACAACCATATTTCCTCGCCTTATCCAGTCTTGCAAAGTAAAAAAACTAATCGTAGTAAATAATATTGGTTTATTAGTGTAACACTCTTCCTCACACAATTTTGCCCTATGTATTAATCCAATATGCTTACTAAATATCACTTTTGGAGATTGGCGTAGCACAATCTTACTCATACCATTCGCCCTTGTACATTAATACACAATGCTTAATAAATATCCCATTTGGAAATTGGCGGTATACTGTCTTCCAAATTCTATTTAAACTTGTGACTGTTCTTTTATTGTCCTTTCTCCTCACTAATGTCATTTGAATATATTATACTCCCAGTAACCACTCGCGTCTTAGTGGCATTATCGCCTTGCTTGATGGTGAAATAATTAAAATAATTAGACACAATCCTGGTGATTCATTTCACTAGCTCTCCGCATTTATCAACCTTTAGAAATTGTTCTGCAAACACAGCGTTTAAATGGAGTCCATTAGCTTTTCTCGATGAGCTGGAAGCTACACATCAAAGTGAGGAACATAACCAAGATCTTGCAAATGTTATTCAACGCTCGATTTAAATACTTTCATATTATTGACAGTCTCAAGTGTTGGAAACGTCAATTATCTTCAAATACCACCATAAAACTGTGATGACGGACACAGCGATAAAACTACAGGGAAAACATTAGGGAAACACAAACGTATTCGGAGAAGTATTGTGTCGAGAGGAGGCATGGTGGTGTAGTGGATAGCGGCTCGGATTGAGGAAAGAGAGAGCCGAGTTCGAATCCATGCTAACAGTCTTGGGAAAGGTATGAATCCACTTATTCCAGCTATCAGTAAATAGCAGACTGGGTTATATAGCCTTGGGTGGCAACTGGTTTAATGCAGAAAGAAATGGCAATCTACTTCGGGGAAAAAAATATGCCTAATATCGAAAGACACATGATCGCCTAAACGTGTATCACGCATAGCACATAATTAACTGTTATATATATATATATATTTTGTTGGATTGATGTGAGTTTGTGACCCTGGGTTTCACGCTTTTGCGATCGTCAGACAAACTGATTAATTTTTTTAAAATTTGGGTTTATGTAGATTGCTTGTATTGGTTTTATCGCCGTGATGTTACTCATGCTAACGCAAACATAGATGCATGTCCGTATACCCGATGAGATACGCAGACACACATACACAGTCGCTCGTCCGCCGGTGCTCATACAGATATAAACATATGTGGATACACACACACACACACACACACACACACACACACACACACACATATATATATATATATATATATATATATATATGTATGTTCCAGTCGAATCAATTGCATTCACTTTTGTGCTAATACTCTTAGAAAGGGTATGAATCCTCTTCTTCTCCCCCAGCTATTGGTAAATAGCAGGACAGACTGGGTTCTATAGCCTTGGATGGCAACTAGTACACCTCAGAAAGAAATGGCAAACTACTGCGGGAAAAAATGTGCCTCATCTGTCATGTATCGAAAGATACATGATCGCCTAAGCGTGTATGACGCATGGCACATAACTGACTGATTGCATCAAACTGAAGGCAATAGTAAATGAAAAGAATCAAATAAGTAAAAATAAAAAGACCTACAATTCCATCGGGGAAATGCTAGTTTGTCTAGTCCAGGATTTCTCAATTTTTTTTACTCCCCACCTATTTTTTTTTTTTTAAATGGTTCTTGAGGAACCTCTGTGCCAAAACAAAACTATATACCCTATCTTTCTCATTTCATTTTCATCGTAGTTCACGTGGTAAATATCATAGTATATATTTTTGAATAACTGGTTTAAGAAAAAAATTAATATTTCTTTGTCAAATTTTTCGTTAATCTTACTTATTATAAAACGCAGATTATGTGTGTGTGTGTGTGAGTGTGTGTGTGTGTGTCTGTACGTTTATATATTGGATCGGATTTCCTACATTTTTCAACCGATTTCAACAAAACTTCACAGGACTATGTAAAATCACCTTGCGGTGGTTCTGACAGCGCCAAAAATTGGAAAAACACAATTGTTTTTGCATGAAATCAATTTGAAAACATGATTCAGAGGCATCACGAGAATGAAAGTTTGAGTTATACTTACTAGAAAATCCAGGTTGTTTGTGTGTGTGTGTGTTCGTTTATATATGGAATCGGA